CAGATTTATGAATAAACGTTGACTAATTGTCATTCTAATGAGTTTCCAAACCATCTCCTCTATTAACTATGGTTATAGCTAACTTGAATTTGAAAGGGTTCAGTTTTTTTTATACACACTGTAGAGTCGTATAGTGGAATTTTCTCCCCGTAATTTATTTTGTTGAAAATTCCGACAAACAAATTCCAAATTAATTTTGTTCGCTTCCAGGTTGTAGATATTATGAAAGATAATTTGGACAACATATTAAAGCGAGATGATAAATTGGATGAACTAGAAAGAAGATCGTGTAAGTCATGATTTTCAACACAGTATTTCTTTTAAATTTTCTAATTTTTATTTCTTTGAGTTTTGTCCCATGAGTGCAAGACCTTGTGTTCTTACCCAACCATTAATTCAAAGCAATTAGAGGTGTCAAATTACTACAATACGTTAATTTGAATAAAAAATGTTAGTCAAAATCGCATATTTTCACCTCTGTGCCTAATTAAAACAATGCATAACAAAAGAAAAAGCAATTAATCACGAACGTGTCGTAGCTTAGCTAAGATTTATTCCTACTTAATAATAATTATGAATATGTGCGTAGTTTAATGAGTGAAATTCATCAACTTATGTACCAAAGGGAGTTCATTTTCAATGGTTTTAGACCCAACTCTCAACGGTGAAAATATGCGATTCTGACTAACATTTTTTATCGGATTCGTATTTGCTAATTTTTTATCCATTTGGCATGAAGAAAATATCATTCAACAGCTAAAAGCATGATCTTTCCGAATGTATTAAAATCTCGTTCATACGCAAAGTATAAATTCGGATACAATAGCGCGCTGAAGTTCGATTACCTTTTTTTTTATACACCCTGTATTTCTTCACAAAATGCCTGCATATTTGATGAAAATAATGCATGGCTTATGTAAGTGATAATTATAGGGTCATATAACTAGTTCTACCTTTGTTCATAGATCAACTAAGAAACGAGGCAGAAATATTTAAAGAGAATACAAAAGAAATTAAACGCAAGATGTGGTGGAGGAATAAAAAGGTAAAATAAGTAACATACATACACAACGTGAAAATATTACTTCTTCAAAGTCAGTGCCGTGAAAGAAGAGTTGCATTTCAACAATATAAAAGCAAAGATAGATGGAACCATGTGATTCAAACGTCGCGCTTCTCATGTGCCGAAGCATTAAAAACAATAGATAATTATATAATGAGGCATTTCAACTCATTATCTATTGTTCAGTTTTAATGCGCTCGGCAGATGAGAGGCACGACTTTTGAAA